GTAAGTAAAACTACTGTTTTTGTTGTTGTTTGTTTGACACTCATATGCTTCTGGATTTGGGAGAGATTTTTGGTGCGGTTAGTTAGACCAACTATTTATTCCATAAAGGATGCCTTGAAGAATTTCACTGAAGATGGTCATTTAGTTTCCTGTTAAGTGCTACTTATAAAGGGTGGCCAATACCTTCCAGGGCAGCTGTTTTGCCAATGTGAAAATGCTACTAGAATTTTTACCAGAAAATTCTGCCGTTAAGTATGCCACTAAATGACCTTGTAAGGTAACATAAAGTGCCTTCTCCTAGATGAAAGAAAGTTTTCTGAGTAGCTGAAGATACTTTTTAGTCTTAGCAGTGTTAAGAAAATGCATCTAGGTTTTTGCACATGATTTTCTTTTCCATTTTTTAACCTCTGCCTTGCTACAGACACATCCCTCAAAATTTAATTTGCACCACCTCCCCTGAGAATTCTCCCTTCCTTTCCAGAGGCAAATGCTTTTAACCATTTCAGCTTTTAAAAAAATTTGTATACATTTAAGAGATACAAGTGCAATTTTGTTACATGGCCATATTCCACAGTGGTGAAGCCTGTGCTTTTAGTGTATCCATCATCAGAATAATGTACATTTTACCCACCAAGTAATTTCTCATCGTCCAACCTCCTCCCAGTATTTCACTCTATTGAGTTTCCAATGTCTATCATTTCACACTCTATGTCCATGTGTATATATTATTTAGCTCCCATTTATAAGTGAGAACATGTGGCATTCATCTGTTTCTGAACTGTTTCACTTAAGATAATGGCCTCCAGTTCCATACATGTTGCTGAAAATGACATGATTTCATTATTTTTATGGCTGAATAGTATTCCATTGTGTATATATACCACATTTCATTCATCCAGTCATTCGTTGATAGGCACTTAGGTTGATTAGGCTTTTTAATAGAAATGTTTGAGGTTAAGCGAGAAAACACGAAACTGTGCCCCAGACTAGCACACTGTGAAGGGCTCACCTGTGGGCGCCACCTCTCAAACTAGCTCACCTAGGTGCTACAGAAGAGTGATTCAATTTCTTCCGAGAAGAAACATCTTTTTTCGTTTTTGTATGCAGGGGTGTGCACGCTAACGGGAGGACTCTTCATTCCTATTCTCAGACTCTGCTTTCCATCCCATCTGTTGTCACTACCCTAACGTCTCCGAGTTTTCTGGGTTTGACTAGGCAGATCTGCTCTCTGCCGAGCTGTAGGCCCCTTCACATAGTGCTACTGCACTGTGGTAGGGCTTCTCGTGGGTGGCATCCTGGGAAACATAACCCCATGAAATGCCATTCTTATAGAATACAATGTAAAAGGTGCCCCCTGGAGTTGTACAGCCCTGCTTCCACAGGTGATCAAAGGCTGAGATTACTTTGTTTTTCACCAATCAATACTCTTCCATCAGCTTTCTGTTGCAAAGAAATGTAATGAACCCTTTGGCCTTTGATGTTCCCTTCTATTTCCTTGATCGCTATGAGATTGTCCTTTTTAAAAAAATATTATTATCACATTAGTTTCCTTTAGGGTCTCAGGAGGAAGAGGAGATTAAGGTGTGGGCCATGTCTGTCAATTTGAAACTGAAACACAGAACTTGTTCTGCTAATGGGGGTATCATTCTTCCTTATTTTGTCTGGCATAGTTATAGATGATTCAGATATCAATTTAACAGCAGCAGTGACTCTATGGTAGAGGACTCAATTAGATAGTTTTGTTGTCTCAATGGATCAAATTAACTGGAAATCTGAAATATCTCCACTTATTTTATGTCAAGTAAATAGCAACTTGGGTGAAAATTATATAAACATATGCCCTTTTAAACTACATTCATTTAAAAAATATCCTATGTAGTTGCTTTTCACAAAAGCATTAAGAAGGAGAGTTTTGAAATAATGGAATTTGCAATTTCAGTTGATTGCCTACACGCAACAGTATAACACTTTAATGGGAAACCTGCTAAAGACCCATTGGCCTATATAAGATGAAAAATAACTTTCCCACTATGTGTTCAGTCACAGTGATTATGTGCCACATTATCTCTTCATCTGACAACCAGCTGGGCATGTATAGCACAAATTTTTGTGTTCTGGACTTTGCAGAGGATTACTGAAATTTTGCCTCCTAAATATTTCAGTAATGCTGTTATTTCTACCTCAAATATTTTATTTTATATCCAGAAGTGTTTTACATAAACGTATTTAAAAGCAAGTGTTCAAAGTAAGTCTTCAAACTAATCCAGCCTATAAAAATAAATTTTGTCTTTTTCAGAACACTTAGACTAAATGTATATTTAACTAGTACTTATTGAGGGTCCAATATGTACCTGCCACTTTTATTTTTTAAAATTGGTGAGTTTGGGCTAGGTATGGTGGCTCACACCTGTAATCCCAGCACTTTGGGAGGTCTAGGCGGGCGGATCACAAGGTCAGGTGTTTGAGACCAGCCTGGCAAATGTGGTGAAACCCCATCTCTACTAAAAATACAAAAAGTAGCCAGGTGTGGTGGTATGTGCCTGTAGTCCCAGCTATTTGAGGGGCTGAGGCCAAAGAATCGCTTGAACCCAGAAGGTGGAGGTTGCACTGAGCCGAGATCACTCCACTTCACTTCCATCTGGGTGACAGAGAGAGACTCCATCTCAAAAAAAAAAAAAAAAAAAAAAAAAAAAAGGTGAGTTTGATACTATTTTCCCTTTTATTGTTGAGGAAACCCATGCTTAGAGAGGTGAAGTCCTTGATCAACAGCATATGGCAGAGGCGAGGATTCAAACCAAATTCTTCGACTCTAGAGTAAGTTTTCTTCCATTCTTACAGAGAATAGAATATATTGTGTTATTCACTAGATATAAGGCAAACTGCTTTATGCTAGTTGGGACAATAGATCACTATGAAGTTTATACAGTTTGCTATTTTTTTATAAAAGGAGTCACTGGTGTTTTGAAGTTAGGGTAACACGTTTACATTTTTGGCCTCATCAGAGAAGAAGAAATGGTGATTATGTCAATTATAGAGTTCCTTAAACTCAAGTGGAAAACAGTGGAAATTGAAAAAAATGCTTTGGGCAAATTGCTAATAAGCTTTTGCTAATAAAAAGAAAGAAAACAAAAGTTTGGAGATAGCCTTAGAAGGAAATGCCATTATTTATCACAGCTGGAGGAAGTATACTTTGTGCTGATGGCCAAAATGTGAAATGACAGCCACCCTGAGCCCTGCCAGGAGAGGTCTTCAAAAGGAATAATAAAGTAAGGTAGAGACAGTGGTCAAATTAGTCCCCACACCCTTACCTCTACTGCAAACAACACCTCAGCTACATAGTATGCACATGGACCTCCAGTACCATCCCGAACAGCAGGTTATTAATTCTATTTAATGATTTTTAAGGTTAGAGTCATTCTAGTTCTTCATTGTTTTTTGTTTTTTTTTTTCACACTTAGGAAATTCTACACGATGTCTAACTTAGCCTGGATGTGGTTTATGAATTGTACAACCTGTGCTCTCCACCTCAATAAAGTCTTTCATACCACATTATAGGGGACAGAGCCACACAGTGGAGTCAGGCTCGATTCAAAGTCCAGGCTATGCTACTTTCTGTACAAGTACACTTGGGAAAATTACTTAACCTCTCTGAGAATCAAGATTCAGAAAAAAAAAGATACCTATCTTCTAGGACTACTTCAGAAATAAAATCAGGTAAGACAGGTGATATGGTTTGGCTCTGTGTCCCCACGTAAATTTCATCTTGAATTGTACTACTATAATTCCCATGTGTTGTGGGAGGGACCTGGTGGGAGATAATTGAGTCATGGGGCGGTTTTTCCCATACTGTTTTCATGATAGTGAATAAGTCTCATGAGATCTGATGGTTTTATTAGGGGAAACCTGTTTTGCTTGGCTCTCATTCTCTTTCTTGCTGCCATGTAAGAAGTACCTTCTGCCATCCACCATGATTGTGAGGCCTCCCTAGCCACATGGAAATGCAACTCCACTAAACCTTTTTCTTTTGTAAGTTGCTCAGGCTTGGGTATGTCTTTATCAGCAGTGTGAAAATGGACTAATACAACAGGTGATTGGTAGATAAATAGATAGAGTCTGGCACCTAATAAGCACTCAGTAAATGCTTTTTTTTCTTTCCTTGGAGGAATATTTAGGAATTTGTACTGTTGGGCAAATATCCATGTACGCTTCAGTCCTCAGCTCAAGAGTTACATCTTTGCAGGAACCAACCTGACCTGCTCCCCAGTTCCCTTTTGATGCCCATTTACAGTTAGGTATCCCTTCTGGATTCTCCATTAATCCCTTATGCATATCTCCTATAGAGTGTAATGCTTACACTGTATCACCAGTATGTGTTTGTATTTCTATCATTTGTACTAGACAATGAAGCCCTCTGGAGGGAAAGAAGAAATCTTATTTGACTTACTGAATCTAGTACCTTGCACAGTGCTTGGCACATAATGTGAGTTTCCTAGATATTTGCTGATTGAAAGAGAAAAGAGAGAGAGAATGTGTGTGTGTGTGAGAGAGAGAGAAGAGTGGGGAGGGAGGGAGGGAAGGAAAGAAAGAAAGAAAGAAAGAGAGAGAGGACAAAAGAAAGAAAGAAAGAAAAGAGAAAGAAAGAAAGAAAGAAAAAGAAAGAAAGAAAGAAAGAAAGAAAGAAAGAAAGAAAGAAAGAAAGAAAGAAAGAAAGGAAGGAAGGAAGGAAAAGGAAGGAAGGAAGGAAAAAAGGAAGGAAGGAAAGAAGGAAGGAAGGGAGGAGAGAAGGAAGTAAGGAAGGAAAGAAGGAAGGAAGGAAAGAAGGAAGGAAGGAAAAAGGAAGGAAGGAAGGAAGGAGAAAAGGAAGAATGGAAGGGAGGAAGGAAGGAAAGAAGGGAGGGAGGGAGGAAGGGAAAGAGAAAGAGAGACAGAGACAGGGAGAGAAAGGAAAACTTTATATTCCAAGGTTGCACAGTTTAAGAGGTTCTTTATTATTATCTTACCCTTCCAGGGAGATGGCCCGTTGGAGAGTCACTGAAGGCTGACGAGTTGTGGTGCTATGTTGGGAATGACTGCAAGAAAAGACAGAAGAAACGCACATTACTTATTTGAAATGTTTTTGAACATTTTAATCAGTCCTATTGTCAAGAACCAATCTTGAAAGAAATACAGTAGAGATTAAATATTTGTTGATAAGTAGAACCCTCCACCAAAATATAGTACTCTACTAGATAAGAGTTAATTTTTTTATAATTTGATTTTAATATATATTATTCAAAAGTAAACTTTTAATGATAGGTAAACATTAAAATGAACAAACATATTTGAAAAAGGTAATTTTTTGCCCTTGGAATGAGATAATATAGAGCATAAAAACATACATTTATTTATGATGCAATGTATTTTTTTAAGCTGCAGAATAATTTTTTCCAACAAAGTTTTACACAGAGCCTAATCTGTAAATCAGAGACGTTGTATTTAATTAGTATAGATGTATTTATTAATTCAAATTTGCAACACTTAGTTGTAAAATTAGTAATAATTGAGCTATTTAGTGAACACAAAACTTGAAAAATGAGACTTCCAGCTGCATTTCAATCTTCAAATTTAATGTAGTTCTAGATTTTGATTACCTGTAACAAGGAAACACTAATTTTGCAGATAAGCAATAGAAATAAAATGATAATATCTATCATTTATTGAGGTCTTAAACACTTTCCTACTTTTAAATTTTTATGTCTTTTATTTCTCATAAATTTAGGAGGTATGTCCCATTCAACACATAAAGAAATTGAGATACAGAGAGGATCAGAAAGTTGCTCAGAGTCACATGGTAACTTCCTATGCTTGAAATGGCATTGAGACTGTTTGATTCTAGAGTCATTTTAAATTCTTATAACAAGTTTTCACATTTTTAAGAATTCATCTCGTAATCTTAGAATATTCTTTTTTTTTTTTTTTTTTTTTCTGAGACGGAGTCTCGCCCTGTCGCCCAGGCTGGAGTGCAGTGACACGATCTCAGCTCACTGCAACCTCCACCTCCCTGGTTCAAGCGATTCTTCTGCCTCAGCCTGCTGAGTCACCAGAACCACAGGTGCATGTCACCACGCCCGGCTAATTTTTGCAGTTTTGGTAGAGATGCGGTTTCACTATGTTGGCCAGGCTGATCTTGAACTCCTGACCTTGTGATCTACCCTCCTCGGCCTCCCAAAGTGCTGGGATTACAGGCATGAGCCACCGTGCCCGGCCTAGAATATTCTTTAGAAAGAGACGGCAAGAGAATCTTTCATCTGAGATAGGCACAATAATAATAATTCAACAGCCAACTTTATTGAATGTGTAATTTTAGTTTATAGTATTAGGTTAAATATTTTGGTTGAAATACTAGTTACATATGCATGTAATATATGAACAAGTGTATATATACATATATGTATAAAAGAAACCTGAGTCTAGGATTTCTCAGCACAAACATGACAAAGGCTGACATTGCCACAGAGAATCAAGTTATAGGCTGCAGAGTCTTTCATTCAGAACCTAGGTCACCATAGGTGGGAAGAGGTGTTTTCCTGCGACAAGTAGACAATATTTGTCTAAGGTTAAGGGTACAGAATTTTGAGACCATAGCTGAAACCTAGAGAATGATATTCAAGTTAAAAACTGTGCTTCTTCAAGTTAAAGATTGTGTTTCCTGGTATCCCTCGCAGTGCCAAGATATTCATTGATCATGTTTTCAATTGACTAGTTGAAAAGCATCATAGCATTCAGGACTTGGACTATGTAGCCAGACTGCCTGGCTCAACCACATATACCAATGTAACCTTGTATAAATTACTTAAATCTCTCTGTATGTCAGCTTCTCATCTTATAAGACTAGGACAGTAACAGCACTTTACTCACAGGGTTATTGTAAGAATTAAATGAATACAGTATTTAGAACAATGATTATCACATGGTAAAGCTATATAAGTGTTCATTAAATAAATAAACAAATACGATTTAGCAGAGGGTATACTTTGAGATGTTTAGTACCAAATAAGAATAATTGCTGTATTTAGACCACTTCAGTTAGTCATATAGTCAGTGCCACAAGGTATATATTTCTGTGTATAACTTTAGTGATAAATATCAAATTAAAATATATTTTCTATTACAAAAATATCATACATTTATAATATATAAAATAAAATAAAGCATTTTCTATTACAAAAATATTATAAAATTACTGGAAATAAAAATGAGAAATTAAAAAATATTCACCTATAGTCCTATTACCTTCTTTCACATTTTACCGAGTTATCTAATGTAGTTCTTATAGGAATTCTATAAAGTAGACATAAGTATTTCCATATACAAGAAAACAAAACACATAGAACTTAAAATAATTTTCAGAAATCAACAGTTTGCAAATGTGGAGCCAGAGTCCAAACTAAAGCTTATCTTATTGCCAAGTGTGTGTACTTTCCATTCTATCTTTCTGACTCTCTACATGTCCATATGTATTTCACATAGTTGTACATATATACAGAAACATATGTAACTTCATATCCTCTGCTTTTCCTAACATTACAACTTAAGCATTTCTCATAGGGTCTCTATCATTATTATTTTGGTGTTACATAATGTTACTTCCTATGAAGATATAATTACTTAGCCATTTTTGATAGTTGGATATTTGGGTGATGTTTATTGTTTTAATATTATAAACAGTGCTGCAATGAACATGTTGGTATCAATTACTTTTTTCTTACTCTACAATTTCCTTTATATGCATTTCCCAAAATGGAAACACTTATTAGTTTCTTGATTTATGTTATTAATTACTTTTCAAAAGCTTTGTACCATTTTATTGCTTCTAAAAATGTATATCTGTACCAGTTTCCCCACAGTCTTGCAAGCACTGACATTATAACTTTTAAAACACTCTAACAATTTAATAGATGAAAAATGATGCTTCAAATTTGTAATGAGCATTTCTTTGTCTATTAGTGAGAATGACCATTTTTTTCCATATACTTATTGGCTAATTGTATATTTTTTGTGCAAAATGTCTAATCCTTTCCTTTACCATTTGTTTTCCACTGGTCTAGAAAGTACCAACAGTTCTTAGGCAAAGATCAATGACGGTCACTAACCAAGATTAATAAGTAACTGTAGTTTCTGATAGCCTTCTCACCATTAGCTCAGCCCACAAAATTAAAACAAAAAAATTCAGTAATCTCACTTCACTTATAATTACCTTATAACTAATTACTTTGCTATTCTACTGTATTCCAATAACATCCTCTTTAAAGTTCTAGTGACAAAGTAAATGCAAATGGAACCATGAGGTGCTCAGAGAATTTGATTCCTTTTATATTACACATGCAAGGTTAGCCAGTTTCTCCTAGTCTGTAAATTTGGAATAGAGTCTTTTCCAAAATGTAATTATCCTTTTATTCTCTTCTAAGACAAATACAGTGAACTAAGATAAATACAGTCAAGACCTGTGGACACAATGAATTTTTGTTATTCCCAAATATAATAGTAATGTCCAAGCCATACTTGCAGGAGGGATACTTGCAGTGGATGTTTGGACCTACCTGATGGTGATTACAACTGGTATTTTAAAGAACACCAAACATTTTCCCCTTCAGACCAAGTAGGTTATATCCTTTCCACATTATTGGCTGTATAAACAATGTGGTGTAGAGTTACCATCACTAAGAAATTACAGGTAACCACTTCCTGTCTCTTTCACCTCCTCAGGAAGAGAGGCCAGTCAGATGGAATTCTGAGAACTGCTGTAGAAAGAACCAAGGGAGGAACTCACAGCTAAAACATGCTGCTCTGTGCTACCATCTCATTTTCCTACATATCCATAATAGCACCCAGAGCTATGAATCACTAAGATTTATTCACATGCCTATTTCTCCTATAAAGTCATGTGTGCTTTCAGAACAAGGTATTGGGTTTCTTCATCCATACATTCTCAGCTCGGGGTTGACACACAAAAGACCCTTCATCAATGTCTTTTTGAATGATGAAGACCATGGATTGAATTCCATCTATCTGTAAGGCCCCCATGACTTCTCGCTTTGAAATTTTGCAATAGCATCAAGAATTAGGTTTCATCCCCATTTTCAAGGGAAATTAAATTAAGGCCCAGATCTCCTAGCTAGTAGATGGCACAAGTAGAACCCAGATTTGCCAGCTCCAAAGTGCTTGCTCCTCTGAGACAAACCGTATTGTCTTATAAAAAGTTGAAATTAAAGCTCTGTGACTGGTCTATATAAAGCACCTGAAACACTCTGTTAGAAAATACTGAACTCCCACTGAGTAACACTGACAAGTTCTTTTTTTCTTTGGTATAAAATACCACACATTACTTTTACTATGTATACTCAACTTCTATGTCAGTGGCTTTTGAAGATCATTTTTATGAAGATCACTTAATAAAGGAACTTCTCTGTCACATCCACACCACCTCATTAGTAAGTCCTGAACATTTATGAAGATTTAAGTGACAATGAATAGTGGGTGGGTAGAATGAGCATAAGGGAGGCTCAGCATCATGCTACAACATGAATGCTGGAGAAGAAGTCCCCTGTCATCTGGTAGAAAACCTGTGGCACCAATTCCCTAGTTAGGTAGCTTGGCTGAGGTACTAAATCAGGCAACTGTAGAGATAAATATTACTAAACCTTTTTAAGATCCAAAGAGAGGTATCAGCCCTATTGCCTGTCCAAATCATGCTGTCATTAAATAAAATTGAGCAAGAGCACAATAGAGTTTCCTTTCCAAGAACTCTCTGAGTTTTCCAAGTAAAAGACTCCAAACTGTTGCCTAAGAAATGAAATTTTAGTGGTGCTGAAAGATGCATTCCTATTGTTGTGCTTAATTAAGAAATTTTTGAGCATCTGAATTGAAATAGTTCCATTATACATGGAACACAAAGGTCCTAGCTGGTGGTAACAAATGGCTTTTAAATTTTCTCTTTCTCTGAGGCAGTGAGAGGCAGGATAAATGGTTTTTCCAACAAGTCGTAATATTAAAACTATGCTATTCTAATGGACAGCACAAAAGGTTTTTT